GGCAGTTAGAAAGCGCGTTTTCGGTTTTGCAACGAGTATCACATGATTTCTCACGTACATTCGACTTAAAAGTCTATGAATATGCCTTCAGTTCGTATCTCAACCGAGTAACGCCTCATAGACTGCCATTATGCCAAACTGTCGCTCATTTCAAGTCCAGTCAAGACCAACCTACTACCATCATGTGATGAGCGATGATCACTCAATCTATGTGTATGTTTGAAAGAACTGCCGTTGGTTTCTGATAAATCGAACCATTCATACTTCTTGACACAGTTTCACTCTTGACGGTCCACTGAACAGTTGACCTCCGCGTCTTCCGAGAACCACTGACATTTACTCAACATTCAGCGATAGCAACTTTTCTCTCTTTTTGAACCACAGGTTCAAGAACCTTTCGGCAAACAACCTACAGTCACATTATGACAAACGAGGAGTATATTCGACCCAGAACACTTGTTGAATACACACCAAACCCCAGTAAGTCTGTAAAACGGGTCGTGGCCCGCTGCTAAGTTTGACGTGGTTACGATTGAAATAATTCGTTTGACACAAGTGAAAAAAACATCTGTGGATAGTGACGAGATCTCCACCATTCAGCTACGAATTCTAATAACACAAATCAGTGGTGTCCCATGAACTCCTGAAGGTTTCAGACACGCAGTCTCCCATGTAGAGAAACAACCGCAAGTTGCATGCACCCATTTTCAAAGGGGTTCCCAATGGCCATATCACATGACCTGAGCTGTGTTCATAAAGAATGAGTGGTGCCGTATCCTGTAAGAGTACACGAAGCCATTGATAGATGGAGTTTACTCCGAAGCTTGAGATATCTTTGAGACAAGCGATGTTGACGATATCTCACTCGACTGAAACGGTCGTACTCTACCTGATGAGTCCCAAGAAGGGCTAAACCGGTCGTGGGATGTCGAGGAGTTTTCAGCAACCTTATGAATAGTACATTACAAAGATATACATGTATCGCGATATCTCGAATATCGTAGCGACTGAAAGATGAGGCGGCCTGGTGCAGCACATTCAGTTGCCTGGAAACATCAACACCGAGAGATTCAGCTGGGTTCTAGGTGAGTCTCTGGAAAAACCAAATTAGTTTGCAAATGAGTGTATTTCGCAGTCGTACAGTTCTTCTTGGATTTCCTGCACACGCATGGGTTTTCACTACTGAACTACGGCCCGATTTGGGGTTAAAAGGCGAACTTACTCACCGGGAGGACTGAATTTCGAACCCGATTTTGGCATTCCGGCTGACACTATATAGGCTTTGGTAGTACCCAAGCCCTCGAGATTCCTTCGAGTATAACAGTGGAACGATTAGCATTTATTGTTACATTACAATTAAACGGAACCAACGGTGATCAGTTTAGAAACACATCCATCTTGCACCAATTATAGCATTTCTCTTACAAAGTTCACACCTGACCTTCAGATATCGATTTTTCCGACTCCGCGGTATTTCAAATCTTTCCTAATCCCATTTCGAAACAATTCATTTTCCTACGATTGCCAAAAGTAGTATCAGCGTACAGTGAGTGAAACCAAGCAGCTTATATCATTTTTGGACTTATTGAAAAGTAAAATGAAACACTGTCTTTCGGTTTTAGTGTGCGTTGAACAGCTGAACTGTTCCAGCTGTCTGGCTCTAAGTCATCCAGATGGCTTCCATTGCGCTTGGTGCCCGAAAGCCCAAAGATGCAGCGACGGTTATGACCCGTACACAGCCGACTGGATATCCAAGAAGTGTGACGTAAAGGTGAGACGACCCCAACCATTCTACCCTGCTCTCTTATCTGCTTCACCAAATCACGTACAGATCAGATTTCGGCTGTAAAAGTTGCCGACCAGCACTGTATTACTCAGAAAAACTGCCAAGTCTGTCTTTCTTCCAAGTTCAATAATCAGTATTTAAGCTCCACCAAAATACTTATTCTGACAGCCCCCTTCTGTTCTAAAAGGCTTGTCAGTTTCTTAATCCTTTTCCGTGCACCGTTTTGCGAAAAACTGTTCATATACTTGCAAATTTGATTCAGGTTTTCTGCTACAACTCGGTTAGTTAAACTGGTTCAATAGGGCTTTGGTCCGTGATCTTGAAGACCTCACCATGACGCATTTAAACAACATGAGTCACGTAACCAATACTGTTCCCCCACTATGGAGACGCACGGTTCAAATCTTCGTGGAACCATTCAAGTGTCTATCAAGCGCCAAAAACTTGAAAGCATGACTGCTACACTGTACTTCTTTCGGTCCTTAGGTAAAACACCGCTTCATCCAAACTAATGACACCCCATATCTTATACGTGGAATTTTACGAGAAACTGAGGGAAACTAAGGTTATTTCTTGATAATGTGAGATTTGGGAATTTTTCAATGAGATTTCACCTTTTGATTGAGGTCAATCTGTGCTGATAAGCCAACGAGGACTGTGTGACGGTTTCATCCATATTCGGTATTCCGGGGTTTCTAGCCCCTCCACATCCTTAACACTTAACCGTTCAGTCACGAATGACTGATCAGAACTGTGATTAACTGGCATTTGGACAGGGTATGGTAGTTGATCAGGTGGCTGTTGGTCTGTTCGCCGAGCTTGGCAACTGATGTACAAATGAAGAGAGGGACTAACCAACCAACAGCGCACGGAAGATGTCTCCTCGAATGGTGACGAAACGTTGGCTAATCAATTGCCAAGCTCGGTGAACAGATCAACAACCAACTGATCAGTCACCAACTAATGCACCCGAGCTACCAATATTCCAACACATTACCAACAGGGTATAGCGCCACTCACTCTTCAGTCATAGAGACCATATCGAGCGGTCAAGTGTTGAATGACCCCTCAGGTGACGATATCTCAAGGGAAAGTAATCCCCCTATGTGCTATTCATAGGATGGTCTCGGGTTCCAGCCTCCCTAGAGTTTCATGGGATCTCTACCACTGATGACTGGAACTAAGGATGAAACGACTGTATAGTGCTTCTTGGCTTGTCAGTGCAGATGATCGTCACTTACTGGACGATATATCAACTGAAAATAGTCAATCTCTGCACACTTTCTGTTTCGGTTTTTCGTGAACAGTCATCACTGGATTGGGAACCGCTTGGAAGGCTTCTTCAGCGTTCCTTCAAGAGAGAGTGTAATGAGCATTGATCATACCTACTCGGTTTTCCCTTGTCACTAATCGAAGCAGATCACTGTAGTCTGTGATGGTTGTCCCACATAGAGTTAAACAGTGCCTTCCATTGGAGATCTTTCGAGCTCCCCCAAGGTGTCCTGTCTTGAAATAGGTCTTGTACTTCAATCAAGGTATACAGCAAGTTTGTTTTTGAGCTATCTCAAGTGTTTGCCGAGGATTAGACGAGCACTGACCTTGCAGTCAAATCTTACGGTTTACTATTGATTTCCAGAACGTGACCGAGAACTGCTTTGAATGGTCAACAGCAACGAAGACAACGAATACAGCGCCAAAACAGCAGACTTTAACTTCGGTAAATACAACTCCAGCATCGATAAACACTGAACGTCTGATGAGAAACAAAACGATGAATGGGAACTCAATGAGAACAGATACGATAGATAGGATAACAAGTGCACCGGACAACACAACAGTGTCGCGGGCGACATCGGACGGATCGAGCGAGAACGCGGATGCAGCAGGCACAACGGAGGTCGAAACAAGAGTGATGGAGGGAGAACCGAAAACCGCAAGCCGAACCGCAGTAAACACATTGATTTCAACAAATAGCATGCCCGGACTGGCGACAAACTCGCCGCAAAACGTCGATGGCGACGAACAAGCGTTAACAAACACGGTGCTTCTGTCAACCCTAACGGCAGGTAATGGGGATGCAACAAACCCAACGACCTTAAAGTCATGGATACAAACACCTTTTCCAAGCGATACAAGAAAGACAGAGACAGATGAGTTCAGTACGGGGGCAACAACAACAGGAGGCCTACAAACCGCGGAAACATCTGACGTCGTACAAACAACTGTCAGTTCTCGGAATGAAAGCGCTGTTCCTTGTACAGATGTGAGAAGTTCATGTTGCGCTATCAGTGGCAGCAGGACTCTTGTGTTGTGTGTCTTGTTGCCGCTGGTAGTAGCGATTCTGTCACTCTTCCTTTGCACTTTGGCGTTGTGCACGTGGAAAAGACGGCATCGACATGTCCTGGTAGGTGCCACGCATTTTTCTGGTATTCCCCGCCCTCTTTGCTGTCATAACAATCCCATTGTTGTGGCGTAAAATAATACTAACGCGTATCTATATTCAAGGACGAAGTGAATTTGGTCATATCAAGTATCCAGCATTGTGAAGCTCACGTGATCGTGCTTGCACGTGATGGGAAGGCACGGCATACAGCCGAGTCAAGTGACACACGTGCTGTGACTGTCTAGCCGAACCACCTTGCTAAAGTTCACCTGTCATGGGGTACTGGAATTAGGCCAGGATGATATTCGATCCATTTGATGCTGTCTTACTTTGACGTGATGCTCAGATGCGGCTGTTTCAATGCTGCCCAAATTTGTATCACCTTGTTCTTGATTGGTTTCCTCAAGCGCGAGGGACTTCTCCACGCTAAACCTCCGCTTTCTTTGCCAAATTTTTATTAACCCCTGTTTGTGTGGCAGTTGAGTGCAAATGTATTACAACTAACAACGACGAAAATGAGCGAAGAACCCCAATGTGATAATTCTAAGAGGAACATGCTGTGATGCTTACTCTTGTATTCAGACACTCTGCTGAAATTGCAAGCATGTTTGGCCAGGAGGGTCTGTGATCCCATTCTTCGTCTGTCGCTCCCTTTCTGTAAATTTCATCAACTAAGTTTCGGCCAGCGCAAGCCTAATTTTCCAACTAACCCATCTTGGTAT